GCGATAAAAACTCTTTCATTCTAGATAAGATTGTACTGAGTAATATGTGAAAATCCTCAGTGGGCCAAATCACGTTCTTATGCGCCCCCGTCCTTTCTATATTAATTCCTTTGCGAATTTCTATGACTAATTCGCGAATTTGTTGAAGTTGTTGTTCATGAGTCTCATGTATATCTTGAAGAGATTTATGAGCCATTTTTAACTCTTTTTCTAATTTATCTTTTAATAGATCAGGCAAATCACAATGAAGACGTATATGCAATTGTTTAAGTTCATTGAATAGTTGAAGTAAATAGACTTCTAACGATTCTAACACGGTGAGATCAATGGATATAAATTTTATATTATCAGCCGTACGTTCAGGATACAAAGTTTTGGTTGGATAAAGAATGTAGTTTAATCGTTGATGTTCATGCCGAACTTTCTTGAATTTGAAAATTTCTCGGTATACATCTGTTAATTTGTTTAATTTAGTAAATTCATCTATATTTGAATAGACTGTTGTTGATATAATATTATTGCATAAATCTTCTTCTTTTTGATCCATTTCCATTGCTCGTTTATCATTTATTAAAGACATACATATTTGGTTAAGTATGGAGTCAACTTTTATTGCTTGATCAGGTGCTAATTGCAGTACAATAATAATATTCATACCCCAATTAATCTCAGTGATAATATGTGTGGCAAAAGTTTTAGAAAACGAAGGTATTTGTGACATATCAAAGCTGTCAGAACATGATTCTGTGTGTGTTTTATATTGAAAATATATGAAACGGGTGTGTTGGTCAATGCGTCGAGGATAATCCATCAATGAAGCTATTCCATTCACTGGAACCAATTTAAGGTAAATACTCAATCGTAATTCACAATCAAATTTCATCATTTCGAGAAGATTCTGACATTCGACTGTACGACCGTTTATTAATAAGCATATTGGTTGTTCTTTACATAAAGTAGAATTTGTCATGAAGTTTCCAATTAATTTTCCTCGTATAATATCTCGACATCCATCATAAAATGATCTAAGAGTACCAGATTTATCAATAGCAACACGTTCTATACTTTCTGCCATTGTTTTATAGATGTCGAAATACAATTAACATGAATTTCGTGTCGAGACTAGATATACTTTTTCCGTTGTGGTATAATTGTCTGCTTGGTGTTCTCGGCTAAGATATTAATATTAAATTGAATAGACATATGTTTATAAGAATAAATTTAAAAAAAAACAAATATTGATCTATTCTGTCACAATAGAATACTTCGAATTTTAAAGATAGATGGAGTTCTATTTAGATCAAGAAGTTAAATCCTCTATTAGAGTAAGAACCACGAAAGTATAGCTGATAAAAAATAATAATGCAATTGAAAATTGGTTCCTACAATTGTTAAAGACCAATAATTTGAAAACATAGGTAGATAATCATAAGTAATTGTTATTTCCTACTTGATTAGCTATTGAAACAAAACATTGAAGTCTAACCAACGTGAAATAAACGTATTAAATTTATCGATCTTTAAAATAACTCATACAGTTGATGCGTTAGTACATATTATCAATTTACATTTCACTATAAAATATCGTAAAATATGGAAAAAAAGAATTGTTACCACAGATTTCAACACTTTCGCATCTCACGTGGTAAATAAAAAAAGTTTTGTTGATTGCCGTTTTTTTTCTCTTTAAACATATCTACTTCAGCCATAGAAGTCATCCGACAACAAAAGAATAAGAAAAAAAATTCTTTCCCTGACAAACAAAAATTTGCACCAGAACAGCAAGCAAAAGTAAATTACAATTCAGAAAAATCATATTTTAACAAGTAAAGTTATATAGTTTGAAATGTATAAAAATGTCTTTTAATAATTGCAGTCATAATACCTCAGAAATAGATATATATTTTAGTTAAGTGACTGATCTGATGTTGAAAACATTTAAAGTATTAATCGTAAAGCAAGCAATTTAGAACAAAATAACACATTTATTTTCGTTCTTATATTAAGAAATTTATTAGCATATTTACATTTTACTGCAAAATATAATAGTATTTTTGTATGTACAGATTCACGATCAATATTTTATCAGATCCGCTGAAACTACATTTATACTAAAAGCTCTTCTTAGAGAACTTTATGAAAAGACTGTCATTGAAGTTCAATTTAATGGAGCAGTTAACAAATGAATTAGTGTAGATTTGACTCTTTGTATTTTGAATACTAATTTTCTATTCTCTAATATATGTAGATATTTTTTAATCAAAAGTCAGGACTTGAAAGTTATTTCAAAATTATCATACGATAAAACTGACTAATAACACTAACTTTATCAATTTATCATACCGTCTTTAACTTTCTATACACAGTACGGACAAGAGTGAATATCTGAAAAGTGAAATAGCACCTAAATTTCTAGTAACTGATATCAACAAGAAAACTGCCTGTTGTAAAGCAGCATGCACCATTTCGGTTGAGCAAAGATCTTGACGATTCCTCATAGCATAGAATTAAAGTGTTAACTATGACTGATATTCACAAGACGAGTAAGGTAATTTTACATGCTGAATGTCAATAAACTTTTGTTTTTCAAGTTCCCATGTATTATTTCAGTGAAAAATGTGTACAAGCCATTTTTGTGCATACTTACGTAAAGACTATTACTTATTGAATCTACTTGAGTTAGACCGGCTATATTATACTGTATAAGATGAATTGAGTGAAGCAATAAATCAGAAGTACATATAACAAAAGCAACAGTGATACACGACATAAAATGTCGTTTTAAAAAAATGCAGGAAAATGGAATATTTTACTGTATGGGTGTGGGTATGAGTATGCGTTTGGAGCGGCTGGCTGAAACCTGCACCAATACCGTTGATCCAAACACCTACTTAGAATTAAATAATGAAAATGAACGAACTTTTGATTAATAATATTCTTTTGTCACAGAATATCTAATCTACCTACTAGACGAGTACATCCCCTACGATCATCAGCACCGACAATTTCAACTAGAGAAATCTGCCGTGTACAAGCCATTTTGCAAAACAAAATTGTCAAGTAATAAAGATGAATTATATTGATTTAAAAATGTGAAAGAAATAGGCATTAGTTGAAAGCAATAGGGATCGACAATCATACTTCCAAACCTTGATGTAAATGGCTAGAACAGAAAGAAAGAGTGAATATTGATTCATATAGTCAAACAATGTTTTTCTTTCGCAGTGCATAAAACTTCTGATTGAATATGATTAAGTTTTTGTATTTGCGCAAAAAAATGTAGACGTGTGGATAGACGAAGAGAAAAATAGTATGTTCCATGCGTACCGACATCCAGAAATACCAGAACAGTGCCTGTAACTCAAACTCCTATCACTGAGATGCAACTAAACAAAGTAAATATCAATAGATACCATTGAGTGACTTCAATACGTAATGATAAGCATGCACTTTGAAAAAATGACAAGTTTTTACAGAAGATTAATCAAATACATGAAATACAACGGAGTTCGCTTCAGAAAAAATAGAAAACATAAAACAATTAGATATGTATCATTTTGTCCACACCCAAGAACTGTTCCTGATTGATGAAACTGTTTGAACTGGATTATCGCATCTTTGTACGTTATACTCAAGATTTATTCTTGAAGCTATAGAAAATCAAAAGACCTAAGTGTAAGGAGTCAATTTTTTAATTAAGTTTTTAAAGAATTTCATTACGTATTTATGAAATCTGTTTCTATTTAATATCCCTCCGGTTTCCTTGTAAAAAACTGATAAATGATGGTGTAGGCACGGTTAAAATTTGTAAATAAATTGAAAGTGGCTCAATGCCAGTTTCTTTCGTCACTCTCTTTACTTTAAATAAAGTATACGGTAATATTAGTACTTCATCTTTAAATTGTGATATAGGTGGCACACGATCTGATATTTGCGTTTAATCAATAGCCGTACTACACAGTTTTCGAACTTCAAATACGAGTAAAACACTACACAAATGATCAAACTGTGGTTCAACAAAACCAGCAAACATATAATTGACCGTCTTTATCCTTGAATTTTAATGAAAAGTTCCGTGATTCGATGATACTATTCGGCGTTTTTATAGCATAATAAAATTGACTGACATTGTGTATTGTCATACCCACTCCACGATAGCAGATGCCTGTACATTTTCGTTCAGATAGCAATGATAAATTCAAATACACTAATGTTGTATATGTGTTTGAATACCCTATAAAGACCATTCAACGTATATAAAGGAATTAGATGACTGATATATTTAATTCGTAAGAAGTCATCAAATGAGTTTTTCAATATAATTTGATCATGTGTACCAACTTAATAGGTATTTTTTACTTTTGTGAAAATCATTTTAAATGTATGTAAACTTTTAGTTTCTCTCTTGGTTCTAACAATTTTTTTAACAAATGTAGGTATTCGATTAAATACCGTCATATATCGAGATTCTATTGCATCATCGGTATTGTTATAAACAATTTGATTATGTGTATTATAGTAGAGATCAAACATCTACAATGTTTGATTGATATTCTGATCGATGAATCATGGTTGGGATTCTTCAATTGAACGATGAAATAAGGAACGAATATCATTATTAGAAGCTATTTCATAAGTAGCTTGATTTTCTTTACTGATCGCAATATGTGAAAAACCATGTGTAAAATGTAAAAATAATAATAGAGACATGATTAACTCGAACAACGGCGTGCAATGCTGTGTTTCCATTTGTTTCTAATTGTTAGATTCTTTTCTGACAAGACAAATTCGATAGAAGTTCAAGTAAACGGTCAACATCATCTTTTTGGCATGTACAATAAAACTTATTAAGTTTTACTATGTTTTCGTTGAACTAATAAAGGACTTGATAACAATGTTGTTTAGCTGTTCTTTCACTGGAATCATTATTATGTATATCTAAAATGGAAATATCGATGTCATTCATTAGAATATGTTATCTTGTTATAAAATCTTATTAAATTTGATCATTTGTGTCAAGTATGAGAGCTATATACTTTATTTACGTATATACGCTTGTGATTCTTAATAAGATTTAGAGGTATTTATTCGTTTTTACTAGCTTACTTTTCTTCTATTAAGACTACCGAACTGTGATTGGTTACAAGTGATTTGAAGAGAAAAATAACTAGCCAAACATACATTGTATTCTAGAATAGATGAGAATCGCATGGTTAATTTATGCTCCGTCTTCGGATTGTACATGCTTCAATAGTACGTTAAAAAAATTTTCGACTTGCTGCCTTCGTACAGTGACTTTAGCTTGCCATTTTCACCTACAGGGAATTCTTTTCATTGCATTGTCTTCCTTTAATAGATATAGTAGTTAAAGAAGAAAAAAAAAACTACAGCTACGGCTCAAGATCTAGTGATTGATGTAAGAGGCTAATATAAAAGCATAAAAGAAACTGAAACTTTTCTCCTTTGTTTTTCTTTTCTGTTAGCATATTCTAAGTATGAACGATACAGAGTTGGAAGCAGACAAGTTTTTTCTGTCCGGTCCGATCTGGTTAGCAACCGGCCGGACGAATTTTACAGCCAAAATGGCAAAAAATCCGGCGAAAATAACCGACCATAAAAGTATCTGTTAACATAAAATGTTGGCAAAGGGGAATTGAATATTCACATGCAGAAATCCCAACTTGGGATGATCAATTTACATCTACGAAAAATTTATAAATCCAAAAATAAATTTTACGAAATTTAAATTAAAAATAAATTTTAAAAAGTTTCATTTATTTCGAATTTAAATCGGATTTACATAAATTTAAATCTTTTAAAATTATTTAAATTTATTTAAATCCAATTTAAAATTATAATATATTAACAGCAGATCGCTATCCTTATTCCTAACTGGAAACTAAAACTTGGGACTGAAACTCTCCCTTCATATTTTATAGCAAGGTGCGTCGACTTTTCGAGCCCGATATCGATATAAATTAGCTATTCAGATCAAATCTGTTTTTCATCTCAATTTCAAAAAAGAAAAATAAAGCAAATTTATAAAAACATGTAACATAGAAATGTAAATTTTTTATTTTTTTTGATTCAGGCAGCTGTATAAGTAGAACAAGAGAATAAATTATTTGATCAGGGTTAAATTGAGCAATACACGAGAAAGAAATCGATAGAGACATAAAGAGAACAATCAATTGTTTATAGTCAAATCGAAGACAAGATAGCTATTGAGTCTTTCGCAAACTCATTCTTCTGACTTGAAAATATCATAAAAAAACCATTTTCAATAGAGAAAATTCTTGGATGCAAACAACATTTTTGTAATGATGAACTGGCAAAAATCCAGTTCTGTTCGGACCGGAGCCGGATTGCCCGACCGGTTCCAACTCTGGAACAATGTTCATAATACGCATCTAACTTCATGGCAAACTAAAATACGCAAAACTTAATTATTCAACTCTTGCCAACAAGAAAGATGTCGGTAATAAATTTGCTTTTATTTCATTCTAAATGTAGAAATCATCGGATAGAAGTGTAAATTATTTACTATTTTATTCTATGAAGAGCTATTATATATATATATATACTAAAACCAATATAAATCAGAAAGTTAATTATTTCTTTGAAACATTCTAACATATTGTTGAGGAATTAATATTTACCAGGTCTCACTTAAGATTTCACATACAGCTGGAAAAAAGAAGTCTGGTTCTCTTTAATGCTTTCACTTTTTAATGAATTGTGCCCTTTTAAATTATTTTTTGAAGCACAATTGAAAATGAATGTTGAGATGCAAAGCGAGAAAAGTAAATTTCTCCAACTTATTCCACAGACCATGACAGAGATGCCACATTCTATGATGGTTTTTCGGACTATTTGGTTATGATTTTTGTACCACGTTGTTATGAATATTTGAGTTTCGAGTGGCTTGATCTCATGGAATATTTTGAATTCTAAATTCATATGAGATTTCTGGACAACAACACTGCTATCCCTCGAAGTAATATATTAAAGTTTACACTTCACATCGTCGGAAACAATTACAGATAGCTTTCTCTAATTCCACGTTGCATTATTGGAAAGACAAAGCGCAATCTCACGTCCATTCAAATGAGCTCATCGTATTTTACATTTTAATCTCGTAGAGACCGTGCTGGAAGACTTGTTTTTATAGATGCGTTGGCTTAGTCAAGCTGAACGTTGAATAACCACAGATATATTAGAGTTAATCATTTGATAATATAGAATCAATTTATCTGATCCAGATCGGGCAACGTCGCGTACATACCGCACCGAAATCAGAGAAAGAACAACATACTCCATTGCTCAACAGTTACAAATCATGAGAAAAGTATTGACAACCATTTTGCCAGTTCTATTGTTATCAACAATAAAAAGAACAAACATGAAGTTAGAGGCATTTGATAAAAAGCTCTCCTATCGAATCCAATCACACCAATAGTCATTTTTGTTAAATAAACAATTATGATGAAAGAAGTTTTTTCTTTGCTTTAACAGAGGAAGAAAAACAAGACTAGTACTGAAGTAAAGTGATGCATAATCGTATGATTTGTATGCAAAAGATGTGATTATATGACATGAAGGAATCGGATCAAATGTATCAACATCCACACTAACATCTCTTCTATCATTTATCGTCCGTTACCTACACTCAAATCAAAGCGAAACACACTGTAGTGAGCGATGTGTAATTGATCAATTCTAATAATGAAGTATTTTTTCATCGAAGCTTGTGAGTTTTTTATGACAAGAAGTACATGATTTCTAGATTTCAAATATACACCATCTACTGTTGGATACTGATGCCAATGTAATTATGATCGAGGTTTGATATTAGACTCGTTTCTACTCACACGTTTGACTGTGTTTTAATTATAAAAAATAATGCTGTGAAATTGATAACTGACAGATGGCGACATCTAAACCTCGGTTCTCGATTGATGCAACCTTCTGGGGAATCAACTCTATGCATTTCAATCAGTGCAATTTAAAAGAATAGTCTATGTACACATCCAGATGAGTCATCGAATCAATGTCGAAATGCACTTTCTACTTTTTATGAGGCATCAGAAGATAAAAATACGATGGAAATACTTTAAAATAAATTCTCTTTCAAACTGCGTTTTTATTTTTTCAATAAAATTAGTCTCACGCATTTCAGAGCGTAAAAGAACTATGCAACAGTAGATGTCNTTGGTATAAAATTCATCATATCACCTATTTGAAATTATGGCGTTACCCCCCTGGAATAATATTTTTTCCAACCCTGTAGACTTTTAGCTTCTATCATGGTTCTGACACTGTTTTGAAGAAATCTAGGTGTTCGATTAAATGCAGTCATATACCGAGATTGTATTGCATCATTGGCATTGTTATAAACCACTTGATCATGTGTATTGTAGTTCAGATCAAGTATCTCCAATGTTTGATTGATATTTTGATCGATGAATCGTGACTGGAATTCATCAATTGATCGATGAAATAAAGAACGAATATCATTATTAGAAGCCATTTCATAAGCAGTTTTATTTTTTTTATTGATTGCAATACGTGAAAAACCATGTGTGAAAAGTAAAGCAACAACGGAAGCATGACTACCTCGAACAGCGGCATGCAATGCCATATCTCCATTTGGTTCTAATTGCCAGACTCTTTCATGGTAAGGAATTGTCGGTAGAAGTTCACGTAATCGGTCAACATCACCCCTTTGACATGTACAATAAAACTCGCTAGGTTTTACTATGTATTCGTTGAAATAATGAAGAACTAAATGATCATGTTGTTTAGTTGTTTTTTGATCAGAATCGTTATTACTCATATCTACAGCACAAATATAGATGTCATCCATTTGAATATGTTTTCTTGTTATAAAATCCTATTAAAATTGAACGTTTATTTCAACTTTAGGAGCTATCTATTTTATTCACATGCACACTTATAAATCTTAATAGGTTTTGAACTATTTATTCTTTTTTAACAGCCTACTTTTCTCCTATTAGGGCTATGGAACTGTAGTTGGCTACTATTGATTTTAAGAGAAAAATGAAGAGCAACATATATATCATTTTTTTAATATAAATGAGAACCGTATGTTTAACTGAAGACCCTATCATCTGATTCTACATGTTTCAATAGTACGAAAAAAAAATAACTTCGACTTGCCCTATTTGTGCAATGACTTCAGCTTGCCATTTTCACTCGAAAAAGGTTTTTTTTAATTGCATTTTCTTCCTTTCATAGACATAGAAAGAAAAGAAAAAATATTTCTACAACTCCAAATGTAATGATTGACGTAAGCAGCAAATATGAAAGCATAAAAGAAGAACGAAATCTTTTTTTGTTTTTCTGTTGGTATTTTCCAAGTATAAATAATGTTCACAGTATGTTTGTAACTTCATAACAAACTAAAATACAATAAATCGATTATTCAATCTTTGTCAGCATGAAAAATATTGGTAATAAATTTGATTTGATTTAATTCTAAATACAGAAATCATTGGATAGAAGCGTAAATTATTTGTTGTTTCATTCTACGAGGAATCATTATATATATTCTGAGAGCAATTCACATAAGAAAATTAATTATTTCTTTTCAATTCTTGAACATAACGGTAAAAAATTAATATTTGCCAGCTCTTAATTAAGATTTCACATGGAACTTGTATATAAAATCTTCCAATGTGATTTTAGTTTCACTATCCTTTTAGAAAGTCTGTCTTTCTTTAATGCTTTTGTCCTTTGACAAATTGTGCCCTTTAATTTTTTTTGTGAAACACGATTGAAAATGAGAGTTGAGGTGTAGGGCGAGAAAAGTGAATCCCCCCATCCCACCCCACAGACCGTCACAGAAATGTCGCAGACTATGACGATT